GGAGTTGATCATGGGCGGTAATAGTCACTTAACATTAGGTTAGCCTCATACTCGTTTGCTCCCTCTTCTATAAAAAAATGATGACAGTTTTTTTATTTTTTTGAGATTTATGTGGAAGTTTTTGAGCTATTTAACCGCAATTCAAGTGGGCGAGTGCGGACCCTCTCGCCTCTGACTGCTTAGCTTATGTCGATCGTTGTTCTAGGCGGGCGGTGAGAACCACCTCTGTATACGGGTGTACGGTGTGTACACGGTGTTTGTTGGAACGCGTCATGGTCGCCTATATCCGTTATCCTATTTGTACTTGTCCCTTTTGGTGTGGGTGTAACGTCAATTTTGATGTGCCTGCGTCGTTTGGATTGATGGAATCCAGCGAGCGTGATGAGATAAGTACGTTACGCGGTCTACGGAGAGTGGGCGCAATGTTTGGTGTTGGGACGTAGTAGGTTGCATTTGCAACTAACGGTTTTGTATGGGTTTCGGTGCTATCAAACTAGCATTGAGACATCTTCTTGAAGTACTCGAAGATTTAGGGAAGTTGACAATCACTGTGGCTATTCGGATGAAAAAGTTTTGGATTTTCTGTAGTTCATATAGATGGGTTCTATAAGTGTGGGCGAAGGCTACACTTCTGTAAGACATGATAGATTCTACGCAGGTTTCGTACCGGTGTAGTTGGTGTCGTAGTGACAGTTTGTTCTTTCTGTTGACAAGAGGGTGGAGACGGTCAATGACTTGCTTGGCTCTGTCATTGACCGTCTCCACCCTCTTGTCTGGTTCTTAGGGATATCACTCGTGGAAAGAGTGAAGAGGAGTGGAGACAGGACGGAGACTTGTGGTACCCCGGCCTTTGGATAGCGGACTATGTTCTTTTATACACCTCCTGAAATTGAAAATCAAATGAAAGGGTTTGCTGAGAAGTATACGGATAAAATGACGTCGGTATTCAGCTCCTGGAGGAAATGGTGTAATACTGTCCGGCAAAACAGTAAGACTTAGCGGGTTCTGTCTTAACTAATATCGACCTACACTCTAGGCAAATTCTAGCGCTGGTGAAAAAGATTTAAAATGGCCACCATACCAATTTTAAATGTTGCCAATTATATTATACAAAGGTTCTACTCATTGTCTACTTAGGCTTAAAGTTCTTTGCTGTTGGTCAAGCGTACGTGGTCTTAAGGAGAGACAAAAAACTACAATGTCTCCTTATTGAAAAACTAGAGTTACTAAATTACTATGCAATAATGACGAATTAAATGAACTAAATAGACTAAGAAACATATCCAGCCATAATTAAATATAAAATACAAATTAATAGTAAAAAAATCTTTTTAAAACAAGCTTCTATTTAAATGCTCTAAAAAGAAAAAACCAAACTTTTAAATCAAATCCATTAATTTATTATATTACACGATTTATATGAACTATATCAATTTGGGTTTCCAAAGTAGTTGTGTGCATGATGTGCCTTTAAAAAAATTTCTATTTCCGGACACCTTAATCAAATGTTTCAATTAAGATTAAAGCAAGAATTAATGACATACAAATTAAGTGACTTTTATGTTGCATGTTGGCATGTTGTCTTAATATTTCAGTGTCCGTAACACGGCGTTTGTCCCCTACCCAATCAATTTGGATTTCCAAACCATAGACCTTCCGTGCGTACAGTTGAGTAAATGTGAACCACGAGCCATGACTTAATTTATCTGTTACTAATACTACCAAATAACTAATAAACACATTCGACCGGTAACGTAATGTAGAAGATAATATTTTTCTAAATCATTTCGTCTGAGTTATTTTGTTTTACAAAACACAAGCTGACCTCATAGCTAAGTAAAAGACCTTTTGTATGTTAAATTCGAAAGGATTTTAACTAATGAATTATCTATTCTGTCTGCTACAGCCTGTCAAAGTTCATGCGGCCAGTCTGTACAGCAGGGAAGCTTATGTTCGACCGACCTGCTAAGGGGGTTATTTGCCATAGTTTCCACGCTTTCCAGGCGGGTTAACAACCGCAGTTTTTTTTTTTTTACTTGATATCAAAAAGATGCTGCCGCCCATTCCACGAAATTATCGTCATCCGCTCATAACAGTTCACAATTAATCATAGAACTTCACCATGCTGAAGCCATAAAATCAAGACGCTTTTTACCGAATACTGCGTCCCGTAACTTTTAAAAAATAATGTAATGCGACTGTTTATGTAATATTTCCACCTTTTTAAGACGCAGTAGCAGTGGTTTCTCTTATGTCACCACCATAACATAACCGAATTTTTAATAACAGAACATTGACTGCATATATAACAAAAAATAATGGATATGCATATATAAATAAAATATATCTATATTGAATAGGAGCTCCATGTTTCGTAATGAACCCCTTCAACAACTTAGTCTCAGGAGACACATTTTCTTTGTGTTACAGGGGATTATATTAAGTTTAATAATTAAATGAATTTACCAGGAAATCATCAAAAGGTTGTGCCTTTTTGTATCCAAGAGTAAAGTAATGGATAGTTTTTATTATTATTTTTGGGATATCTGTATAGTTTTCTCATCTGGTTGGGTTCTATAATATATAATTTTAAATTAAAATGAAAAAATAAATATACATAAATATAAATAAAATAAAATAAATACAAAAAATACATAAATAAATAAAGATCCAACCAGATGGAAGCCCTCGGCAGGGGAGACCGAACGGCCGAGGGTTAGGAGGAAAGGGAAAGAAACCGACAAACGATGCGTGCGGTATCGAGGAGCACTGCCTTCTGCATTTGAGCCCGGAGCGGTCCGTCACGGAGTCCCAGTCGCCTCAGATGACCAGAGAGGCTGACTAGGATTAGCCCATTCGCAGAGACGACTACAGGAATAATTTCGGCCGGCCGACCACCCCACATGTCGGTCACCTCGTGAGCCAGGTCCAGATATTTTGTTCGCTTATCTGTTTCGGCTTTCACGAGGTTCTCGTCATACGGAATGGTAATGTCGACCAAAAATATCCTTGACTGTGCCCGGTCCATCAGCATAATATCAGGCTTATTCGCAAGAATAGTCCTGTCTGTGATGATGGCCCGGTCCCAGTAGAGCCTAGCGCGGTCATTTTCGAGCACGGCTTCCGGTAAGTACTTTTAATACGGCAATTTCCGATCCACGAGACCGTATTTCAGAGCGAGCTCCTGGTGTAGAATTCTGGCTACTAGGTTGTGCCTGTGCAAGTACCAAGAGTTAGAAAGCGCCGAACAACCGGAGATGACATGTCTAAGTGACTCACCGGGATGGAGACAAGCTCGACAGACGTCGACCGTGCCATCCTTTAGGATGTATCTCCGATAGTTGTTGTCTTAATAACCTGATCCTGTATTGCACAGACATAACCCTCGGTTTCCCTGAAGAGGTCACCGAAACGTAGCCAGTTGAGGGAGGCGATTGTATCTACGAAGGGCTCATGTAGAGCGCTGTAGTACCTCCCTTGGAGCTCCTTCTCCTTCCATACGGTCTCCCGGTCGGAAATACTAAGCACTGCTGTGTCCTGCCATTGCTCGTTGGCTAAGGATAGAGGGGTAAGCCCTTTATCACTAGAAATGACGTCATTATAGAATGGATCATCCGATCTCGCCAGGAAGTAATCACGGGGCTGTATACTTCGCGATTACGGATGGTGAGCGCGCTCAGAAAACCACGCCCTTGCTTTCGCGGCAAGTATAGCCTTATTACCGACGATCTCGGATTATGCATCCTATGGGACGTCATGGTAGTGCGGACTTTTCTATCCAGGGCGTTAAGTTCGGTCTGAGTCCACCTGAGTATGCCAAAGGTATATATGAGGACAGGCATGACTTAGCCGTTATATGCGTGTGTCTTATTCACACCGGACAAAAAGCTGTTAAGCACTTTGGTCAACACGTCACTTTGGTCGGCTTCTGGTCTAGAGCCTCTTGAAACTGTCGGGCGAGCACAGCGTGTCATACTATGAACCCCTTCAGCCAGTAATGATGCAGCCCGTCGAGCTCCGGACTTTTCCAGTTCGGGGCCCTACGGACCGCCTCAGCTACGTCTTCCGGCGTTGTGGTGATGGGGTCCATAGGCGTAACACTCGCACCCTGGCTAGCCACAACTTCCATCCAAGGGCCCTCGCTGTGGTTTACGGGCTCTGATCACAGGTCACGCCAAAATGCGATGATGTCAGCCTGATCCGGTTCTGGGCCCGCTCCACATACCTCTGGTCACTCCAATGATTTATAGAGCCTCTTCTGATCACTCTGGAAGAGACGATTCTGGTTGAACCGCCTTCACCTCTCGGTAAATCGTCAAATCCACTTCCCCCAAGCAGTGATCTTTTGCTTCAGGTCGTCTATGCGCTCCGTTAGTTTCTGCGTGATATCCGGCTGGGACAAACTGATATTTGTCCCAGCAAACGCCATCCTAACGGTGCGCACAATCCTCGGTCTATTATTACCCGACCTGAAGCTTGTCAGTCTGCCAATAAGGGCCCTTGCTTTTGCGACACGATCCTCGATTCTTTTTCTCCAGGTTGGAATGGCGCTACTATGTCTAGTAGCGCGTCCAGCCATGGGAAGTTGGTGACAATAATACGGCAAACTGCCACTGCGGCGCCAAAAATAATTGATTCCGTCTCGCAAAGGTCCCGGCTTTTCCAAAATAGGTTACCAGCATTGGGTTAAGAACCCTCATGACAGCTCGATTTCGCTTGCTTAGGGGTGTGCGGGGAAGTCGCGGTCGATTTTCGAGAGGCGTTCTGTGCGTTTCCACAATCGCCTCTTCCAATGCACTCCTCATATGCTCTAATTCCAATTCCTGGGCGACTGTTCCATCATCGTTTGAATCAACCACAACTGGGGTATTCACGGCGGCATCTACGTTTGCGGGTTGCTCTACAATTTGTGGCACCGCATCCTCAGCCGTAGCATTTTCATCCGATGAGGGAATAGCCTCACGTCGTAGCCGTTCTAGTTCGGCGACATCAAATATATTTCAGCGCAAGATATACCGAACTCGGTCTGCCAGGTTTCGCTCTGTGACGGTTAAAGATGGCTCCAGCTCAGCAAAAAGACGATGCATCCTAGCCCGATACGCCAAACATCCAGTTTCTTCCTCTTTTGTCCTAAAGTACGCCCGCAGTGCGTTTGCGTTCATTGTTTGTGACCAACGCATGCGATGTGCTCCACCAGCAGCGGGTGCCGCTTGCTGCCAGCTCCAGACGTACCCTGGCGACCCCCAGGCAGCAGCCCTATGCGCATTCCTCTTTGTGCCATCATCCATTTTATGGGTGCCAAATAACGGGAGACGCCCAAGCCCGACACCGTTTCGTGGTTCGGTCATATGCACAAATTATTATTATTATTATTACTATGGATTAAACAAGCAGTGAAGAACGGCCAAACCTCAACTTCGTAATAGGTAAAATTTTTTATATATCATATATATATATATATATATATATATTGAAAGGATTGTTACATTTATTTACTATAAAATTAAATTTATTTATATTTTATGCCGAACTTGTAGTTTAAATTATAATACTATATAAATCATTTACAGTAATTGTATTTTATATTTTATTTCATTTGAAGGTTTCACTTCTGTCGCGTGTGAACTGCACGCATGTTATTTTTATTATATAATACATTTATTACATGTATTACATAAAGCATTTATTTATAATTCTAAAAATGCCAAATAAAATTGATTACCCTTAAAGAATCTTTCGAAATGTTACTATAATAAGGAAACTATTGTATTATCCTTGTCTTTAAGACTGCAGGGATAGCAAGTAATTTTTAGACTAGTTTTTACGGATTACTTATTTAAAATTACAATAATTTCCAACAATAATTTCACATCACAATTAGTTTGTAAAGTCAACAATAAGGCTATCTCGTTTTTTCAAGGATGCATCCTTCCCATGAGAATTCTCCCCATCATTCTTAATAGCAATTGGTGGCAGCAATTTGTAAGCGTTTTGAGTGAAAAATATTTGAAAAAAGGATAAAAATATCTAACATTATGCTCGTCATTTTCCTTTAACCCATTTTATTATTGCTTATGATTACATATTGTTTTTCAGGAATTGTTTCAGCAATATTTTCGAGGGAATGGTGCAAAAAATGTTAAATAGATTAAAGATATAAGATACTAAAATATAGTATGTTAAGTACTCTTTTTTTTCGTTATAATTAAGCCGAGAATTCAAAATTTCAACCTCACCATTTACATTTTTTTATTAATTACTATGCCAAAATTGAATCTTTCATGTAAAATCATCGCGAAATACCTACTCTCAAAGATCTGTGTAACGTGTAACGGGCAGACTCATGTCAGTGTTTTTTTTTTATTTCATATAATATGAAACTATTATGAGGTTAAATTGATCAAAATTATATTTCGACATCTTTACGGTAAATTATCGTACGTTGGTAATAATCATTACCCGATTCTATCCCGATGAAATTAAAAACTAACATTTAATTTCACCTTTTTAATAGAATATTTTAAACTAAGTTGAAAAATAATTAAATTGTGTTTACAGTAAAACGATCGTAGCAGCGGTGGGGTGCTAAAGCCACTGGATTAAGTGATGTTAGTACGTCATAGGTGTCGCAAGCAGACGCCGGCTAAAATGTGAATACTTTAAAGTTTTAATATGTATTCAATAAAACTATTTTTAAATTTTGTATTAACTATGTGTAAGTCTATAATTGTTCATTGTCTTTTTTAAATATTTATTACTATAACCAATTATGATTAAAAATAAACATTTTTGGAACATAATTATATGTATATTACATTGTTGCTTTACTTTTTTTGTATAATTCTTCTGTCCGTGTGTGTGTGAATGAACTCTTCCTAAACGGTTGGACTGATTTTGATGAAATTTGTGTGTGTGTGTGTGTGTGTAAGTGTGAGTGTGTGTGAGTGTGAGTTTGAGTGCGTGCGCGCGCGCGCGCGTGTGTGTGTGTGTGTGTGTGTGTTTGTGTGTGTTTGTGTGTGTGTGTGTGTGTGTGTGTGTTTGTGTTTGTTTAAGAATGGCTTAGATTCAAAGTTAACCCGGTAGGTGGTGCTATTGTCGAGATCTAGAAATCACCCGTGCAAAGCCAGATTGTATCGCTTGTACTTTAATAACTTTTTATTTTCTAGAGAAGTCAGTGTCGATTGTAATTTTATTTTCATAATTTACATGTTTTTATTTTGTTATAATTAAGTAAAAATTAACTAACAATCCAATCGCATAAGTATTATACGCGATAAAACTAAATCGCTTCGACCCACTTCGACCAACAAATCTAAAAACCTAAACGTCCGATGAGTTAGAGATTATATTATAATTTACCACTATAAGTAAAGATATATAGATTCTCAAATAGCAGCTTTACAAAAAGCGACGTAAAAGATATAACCCTAAATCTAGATGAAGCGACGTCTTGATAAAGCAAGTAAGTAGTCGATGCATGCAGGTGGCGATGAACTGGGTTTTGTGGCTATCAATGTATTATGGTCATGAATAAATTATAGAAGACTATAATGATAATGTTGACAGCTATAAGAGAGATACGCAGGGTATAACATAATCGTTATGTATTCAAAATAAGAATGATGCCCTTAAGCCGTTCTTATTTTATTATAGTGTTCAAATATCCATGTGCAGTAGTAACCTCTTTCTATTACTGACTGACTTTGACGAATTTCTTATTTTAATAACAAATATATTAAACAAATACATTTACAAGTTCATGACATGAAGAACGTTTTCCTATCAATATTGGATTACGGCCACAACTTCCGAATACAGTGGAAAATTTTCAATTATTGAGCTAATTAAATTACCACAAAATGTAGCGCATTTACGGAACGATTCACTTGTTTTTATCCACAGAAGTCATTTGGGAATTTTCACAAACAAGTAGAAACGATTTTGAGATATTTTTTTAATCAAATAGTACAAAATAGTTCGAAAAAGTTTGCTTGAGCTACCGTCCTGAGAAAAAATTTCATTCAATATTTATGCAACAATTCGAAAATAGTTGGTCTTGTGAGAAAAATACTCGATACAAAATTAAATATACAAAATTTCTGTGAGTAAAGCGCACCTTTCCTTAGATTAAGTCAAATGATGCATCAATTGAACTTTACAAATCTGAATAAAGCTTGTTAATAATACTAGCTAGTAGAGAACAACATACCCACTAAATATACAGTAATACTCTGACCTTACTTATTGAGGAAGGAAGTGTTCTAGAAGGAAGCAGATGGTGTGGCGATGGTCTCGATATATTGGTTATTGATATATTTATAGAAGACTTAGACGATGAAACCCTTCTTTCTGATTTCATAAATCTAACCTACTATGTTTCAGAGTTGTTACAGAAAATATTGGCTACATCTTGCAGCAAACTTCTATAACATCATTATAGTTACATTTAATATATACCGGGTGTTATTGAAATGCTCACGAAAACGAAGACAGACGATAATAGGTACTAAGGATGCGGAATATTGGACAGGTGAATTAAAAATTAGTTTAAATTTAATTAAAAAAGATTAGAAATTCTACGTCATTCAAAAAAAGGAAGAAGTAAGCAAGAAACATAGACAGCAACAAACTAGTAGCTATTCTCTAAATAGTACAAAACATAGTCGTTATCATTCTGTGCTCTGATCGTTTCTGTTTCGCTGCTGACTGCTTTTAAACTACGCATCGGATTTGGTACGGTTTTCACTGCCACTCAGATTTTTTAACGTTTGCACATTAAATCAGAATTGCGTTTTTGTATCGTGGAGAAAATTCAAAGTTTTGTGATTAACTCGCCAAAAATCGATTTTTGGGCACTTACAAAGCTTATGCCTGCTAAACTAAAATAAATCGAAATAGCATACAAAAGAATTGTAGATTTTCAAAAAACCTAGAGAAAAGTAAGCGACGGCATTATATGTTTAACTCTTATGGTTCATTCACAGTAACTATTTTTATCTTTAAAATATTAATTACAAATATAAAGAATTTTCGAAGCTATTTTCTCTAATTCAGTATTAATATTTATCCAGATAGATATTATGATGACCTTGGACATTTAATATAAAATAAATTGTCGTTTACAATACATTATTTAATGAATACTTTAGAAGATATTATAGGTTCAAAATTACGCGCAATCAAAAAATTACATATACCGAAGCCTATTTTGTTGTCTGCAAATGAAAACTAGCATTTTGCAGAGTTTTAGCTCAAAATGGTATATAAAATGGAAATAGGAAGATGCTACAAGGCAATCTATACATATTAAAATCTGTAGAAAAGTCATGTCTATAATTCTCATATTATAACGAAAAAACAATTCCGGGGTACAGTCACAGGACAGTGCCTAATTTAGAGTTCTAACAGCCCTAGACTAAATATGGACATGCGCCCCTGTATCCGGGTTATCGCTGTCACCGAGCGATACTAATATAATGTATCTATGTGTGTGTGACATTCTGCCCCCCACACCTTTTCTTTTTTTTTTTTTTTTTTAAAAATTTTAAAACTCGATATTTATATTTATAATTATCATAAATTAATATTTTAAATAAATATCAACAATTTTAGTTTGAACTGATCGGTTGAACTGGCCGTGTGTGGCGTCCTTAAGTATATTGTTTTAATTGTTATGTGTAAGTTTCGTAATGACAGACGATTGTTTTTGTGTGCGCAGATTTTGCCACGCAAAAAATTACAGACAGTTTATATCGGGCCAAAGGCTAAGGCTCTCCTTAACGGTCTACCGTTGGCATGTGACGCCCTATGACTAAAAATATTAAGAAAATTGTTAAGAACGACTATATGAACTGCGCTATTGCGCTTAGTAACTGTATTAGCAAACGTTCAAATTAATAAAGAAAAGAAAGTATTATTTGTTTTGTTTTATCGTGTTAGAATTTAGTTTATTAAACGATATTTTTATAGTAAAAAACTAATACCTACCCTATTTATGGTAAATAAAGAAATTTGAATTTGAATTTAAGGTGTTTAAGATTCCACAGGCATTAATACATCTTGACAGAATATCTCTGTCAAAAAAGAGCAGATTCTCAATTAGACTCGGCGTTCTTTAATGAATGTACTCGTATGTTACGCGATATCTTTTTCAATTGTTACTTGATTTTAATGATAATTTTTTATTAAATAAATTTTGCGTCCCACATAAATTTAAAGAAAAATTTTCACTCTAAGATTAAAAAATATAGAATGCTATTTTTAATGTAACTGTACTGCAATGTAGACGACATTCGAGCTTGTGATAATGAGTCACGGCGCTAAGGGCCGCAGGTTTGAATCCCGCACA